AATCTCTGAAAAATTCTCTGTTAAATTCAGGTAAATTGGTAATTAAATTACTGAACAAAATTGGGCTATCGACTAGTTTAGATTTTATTTTCAAAGGTGAATTTATATGGAACCTTAACTAAAGTTTTATAAAAGCTTTCGTACACATGCATTAGTAATAATTGCAAGTTATAATAATCCAATGTAGTAACGAAATAAAAGAAAGAAATAATACATAGTCCAATATTTCTATGTTCCAATTCAAATATAAGTTTAGGGTAAAATATTTACCAAAAGCAGACGCTATTATTAGCTCAGGAGAACCCTTTAACAGCTGATGTCATGCTTGCTTGCACTTCGGACATACTGGACTAATACAACAGACATCAATGTACAAATACAACCAAACCGAAAATACAGTTTCGCGAGCTTTTATGAAGAACTCTTTTCTATTTCGAAGGTCACAGCTTAGGATTATAGAATAAAGGTATATGACGAGTTAAATAAGGGTCGTATAATAACACAAATGGATTCACATTAACTTAGAACACCAAGTGATATAATTTATTTTAGAAGTCGTGATAACACCTAATTTATCCCTTAATTTCCTAGTATTATTGAAACAATTTGTAATGTACCGCAATAGATACATTTGCGGTCAGACCGGGCTAATGTATCTTTGTATATTATAATTAATCATTATATACAATTTTGGTGTTAATTATGTTCTCAAATTAACGCTGTGTGGCTATTTGAAACTGCACAATCATTAAAATTTACGGACTAATCTAAGTTTGTGAAAAAAAACGCACATTGCAAATTGAATTTATTTTATGTGTAGCTTGGAGCATGAAGAGCACGTTTTGCTTGATAAATGGGTCTATGATTAAACATTTATATGCATTAAATTAGTTTCAATGTATGATATTGAATAAGTTTGAACACGAAAATAAATTTATAAAAATATAACTCAATTACGGAAGTCATTTATATATATTTTTATGTTAACCTGATATCTAAATTTTAACTTGATTCAATAATTATAAAATTATTCTACCGTAGAAAAGTTTTTATTTTATATACATTTATTTTATTACTTACGTGGATGCGTTTAATGAATGTGATAAAAATATTATTTTATCAGGTTCATGATCACATAATTAAAATTTGAACGTTAAACGAATAGACACATCGATCACTTTGTTTATTCATTATTGGTGAAGGTTAATGTTTCGAATAAATTTTATAGTTCGTCTTATAATGCACGTAATTATGCTTCATTTCCTTATAAAAATTATTAATTCTTAAAACTGATGTGGAATTCTATCGATATTATATTTGATGCTAGTTCACGTCTTTTTAGATACAAAGAAGCTACGTGACTTTTTTAAAAATATGATTACTCATAGCGATAAATTGTATTAACAAATTATTGTTGCAATAAGAATATTTGCATGAAAAGAGAAAAAAGTGATTTATGTATAAAGATTATATATAATTCCTACATATTTGCACACACACAAACATTTAAATTATATATATATATATATATATATATATATATATATATATATATATTAATAAATATAAAATTATTTCGTTCTTTGTGCTTGAGTATATTCCTTGATTTTATTCCAAAATTGTTTGATATTATACGGCGTCATCTATACGCGTATGAATTGCTTTCAGCAGATTATTGATCAAGCAAAGATGTAAACCTATGTTGCAAGGTACACAATCGAATAGAGCAGATATTTTAACAAAATAGCTTTTCATAATAAAATATTACGAAGATATATAAATTATTACATAACAAATTCATGCAAGAATAAAGTATGAGAAACATGACTTAATGTTTTATGAATTCAGACCAACGTTTTATAAAATATTGCGAATGCAAATACATAAATCATGCATGAAGCTAATAATAAAAAATACCAAAGCATCATTGAAAAAAACTGCATGCTAAATTCTACATGTGGTTTATTAAGATATTAAATGATGTATAATATCTACATAATAAATATATACAGGCAATATATTTTTATAACGAATGTGGATAATGCGAATCTATAATTATGATGCTATCTTGTAAAACATATATGTTTATACTAGTTTATACAAAGCTTATTAGGAACCAACTTTGTCTTCTGACTTTAATAAACAATAAAATAAAATTTTAGTAACGAAAACACACAATTAGATTATTTTGCTAAGTGAATGCCTTATCTAAAATAACTACAAAAAATTAAAGACTAGTTTTATAATAAAAGAAAAGCAAAAAGCTCATTAAATAACTGATATAAAGTTTTGGCACCCAATTTACAGAATATATACATTTTTTTTGCACAAATCAGCTTAATGATAAAATACACCAATTGCAATAAATCACATGCTTCATATAATGATATGATATCTAAAGTAGTATTGATTTAAGTGCCAGATAAATAAATACGATATAATCCCAGCCATTCACTAAAAAGCATATTATCAATCTCAGGCTTTATTTCCAAGGTTTGCGACATGTTTCGCCCTTAACCTTGGTGGAAGGTGTACCTTTCCTGATCAATAGACTAGTGACTCTTCTCAATGCTTCTCTTGGCGATCTATGGAAGAATTTTGGACTCAGATTTGGTGGAAGCGTCTGCGGTTTTCGGTGTGTTTCTGTACCCCAGGCTAAAGGACCGACTCCTCGTATATGAGTACCGCCAACTTGCTGCAATCGATCAAGATGCTCCGAAGATAAGGGCCGTGGTTTGCTCCTCTGGGGGTACCATCCTCTCGCAGGACCACCTGTCAATGCTGCTCCAGGAGGACCCAGACCAGCTAGACCTCCTAAGCCTGATAAACCAGGTACGTTATGTCCAACAGTTAGGCTGTGTGAATATGAACCTAAACAAAGTATAATATAAAGTGTAATATTTTTTCCTTATCCTCTCAGGGCCAAAATCTAAATTGGCCATTGCTAGTTACGAATATTTTTTTTAGTTTGGTTTTGAGTTAATGTGATTTTTAAATGGAATTATTTAATTGATTTAAACTTGGAATGTATAGCATTGTGTTCTTTACTCTTATTAGAAAATGTTGGGCATTTTTGAGCAAACCTACTCTGCTTCCTTACACCTATTAGAAAAAATAATTTAAATTTTGCTGTATATTTACTGCTGAATTGTGGTAAAATTATATTGTGATTTTCCTTGCTTTTGAACTTCAAGTTATATAATAATCAAAATTACCAGGATATAAATCAAGTAATGAGCTAAATTTCCAAATCCAATAAAACTTTGTAATTCAATCGACTAGAATATGAAGTAATTATTATCAATTATTACCTGTCTGCCCAGGAATTCTGGGCTGTGTTCTGCTTCCAACAGCCGGAGGCGGTGGTGCTTCTTCCTTCCTAGATGCAATCAAGCTTCCTGTTCCTGTTCTCACATACGTTGGTGTATCTGGTAAACTTGAAGTAGCTGTAGGCGACTGATGGGACGAAGGAGCACGACGTGGAGCCATGGGAGCACGTCTCCTGCCGGTGTATCCAGAGGAATACGCCTGCTGAGATGCAGCGTCTGAATTCAGAGAACCGGTTCGCGACTGGGAACGCGAGAAGCCGGCATCCATCGATCTATTGATGAGAAACATATTGTGATGAAAATATTCTTGTGCTCTACAAATGCAAGAGTGCAATTGCTTTATAGTAAATTTTCCTCCTATCAAAAAGTAATAATTCTAGCCAATACAGAGATTTTATAAAAACTTATGAATTCAGTAACAGTTTTGAAGAATGATTTCATATTATATTACAACTGTATACATCACCCGTTTAGTGATATTTGTTGTGAAAGTTCTTTGTATTTGAATATGTTGTTTGTCATGATCGGAAATCAGTCTATTTTTGTTACAAATTTTAGTCAATTACATATTCTGCTTATACTAAAGCAATTGGAGAACATGAATATATTTTCAACTAATTTTACCTGTCTGATTTGAATGAAATTCACGTTTTTGTAATAAGTTTTGGATTTCGTACAAGAACGATGTTCGAAAACTAAAAAAGATTATTTAAATACATTAAAAATTCTGAAGAAAAATAATTGTTTAATACTTATATTTACCAATAATTGTATGCCGTTTTGGATTCAAATTCAATAATCTTTTAATTCTGCTATTCATATAAAATAGTAATTGTAAAAGAGGAGCTTTATTTTTGGCATTATAAGAGAAAAATCATAATATTCATTGGCAGAGCCGGTCCTACCTTGAATGCAATGCATGCAAAAAATGCGGGCGCACGCCTTAGAGGGCGCCAAAACGAGATGTGGATATGAAATTTATAATATAGTTTTTTCAATATCATTCAAGAAATATATACTTTCCTTGCATTTTGCTAATCTATAGATAATATTTTTTAAAATACGTTAAAAATTTCACTTTAAAACAGCAAATGGGAAAGTAAAGATGAATACATACAATTCGTCCCTTACGATATCAATTAGAAGTTTACGATGCGATTTTGGATATTTTAAATAATGAAAAATTAAATTAAAATAATCCAATATGAAGTACCAGTACTATATTTAATAATGAAAGGCTACAATTTTTTTAATCTCGGATTTTCTCAATAGAATAAATTGCATAAAATCCTCAAAATAAATAAATAAAATGTTTTAAAACCCAAATATTAATAATACGCATGCTTTGGAAATAATTGAAATTTTAAGACCCGCGAATTGCCTCGACCTTCTGAATAATTTCAAAATCAATGTATTTTTGCGCTTTTAGTTTACATATATCTAATGTTTTGTGTACTAAATACAGAATTATTAAAAAGTGTTTTAAAAAATTAATGATGATTGCTTAAATTTTTGTATAATTTTAATGATGAACTTTTAAAACAGTTAAAATAATAGGGGGGGGGGGTAGCTAGAAAAACAATGGCATGCGGGCGCTGAGGACCCCAGGACCGGCCCTGTTCATTGGAATCTGAACATTTATAATGAGATCTGGTTTAAAAACAACTACAATTACCGTGTTTTTAACGCATGCATAGATGGCGATGTTCTATGCGGCGGCACCATCGGTGGCCTGTCAGGTACAGGTAATGTAGATACCTTCCCCGTCTTTCCAGATCGATTTTCAGTCAAGGATGTACCTTCCTCTTCTTCTTGTACTGGACTGGGCGGTAAAGGAGGAAACGCATCAGGTGATCCAATTGGAGTTGGAGGTAATGGAGGTAGCTGATCAAAACACAGATAGTTAACATATATGTAATGAATATAAAATTCATTTTTTAATTCCTTGATTATGAAGACATTTCTTCATATTCAAAATGGTTAGCTAGCACCCTATTATATTTTTACCGTATACTTTTAGAAATTGTATACATTCTGAAATCAGAACAAAGCGCAGTAATATTCTATTGAAAACCAGCATCAGTCATTTTAGTAATTGAGGATAGCATTGTCAAAACAAATATATGCAAATACATATGTACTTATATGAAGACGTGAATTATGTTTTATGTTTTCATGTTAATCATTTTAGTTAAAAAGAGACATTTTTTGTCGAAACATCTCACTTATTAGACAATCAATATAGTTTTGATTTCATAAATTATTTATTGACTTAAAATGAACACTTGTCAAACTAACATTTTGCAAAAGTAATTCCTTCGCGCTTTCACATCTCCTAGGACCCCTTGGTCCTCCTCTTGGAAGTTGTTCACCACGCAGCAAGGCGCTTATATTACTTTCGATTTCTCGTAGTGGCGGGTTTGCAGGAACAGGCGAAGGAGTATCCTCATCTCTCTGAAATGCGACAGGAGGTCTCGCTCTTCGTCTTCTTATCACATAAGTGCCTCGACCTGACCACGGCGTCGCGTCTGAACTGTCGCCTTAAAATCGTAATATATTTATTAGTTCACGTTTACATTATTCACAACTTTTTCAATCACAAAATAAAGCAAATGCATTTTGCAACATAACATCCTCATTGCATTACATGCGATGTAGAAAAACATACCAGTAGAGTCGACATCTGCTTGTGGCGAATCGGAAGGAGGTAACCCTGGTGAGTCAGGCGGTGCTGGCCAAACTTCTGGTGGTGAAGTTTGACACGGTGCTGTTGTAATTGTAGTTGCTATTGATCTACGAGATCTAACCACATTGCATTGTGAATCATCTAAAGGAACTTCCCACGCAATGCTGTTTCGCTTCACATTCCCTGAAATAAAATCTTTTTGAACAACTGCAAAGTTTTTTGAAAATACTTAAATATTAAAATTAATTGTTTTTGTTTCTTAAATATATATAGCTGTGTGTACATGATTATAGCGATATGAAATTTTTTTCTACCATTTAAATAATTACTAACCTGTAGCGGATTCCAGTTTCTCTACACCTTCCGTGAAATCCGAGAACGTTTTACTAACCGGAGGCTGCGGAGCCTTATATTTATTTCTAGTATTATTTTCCTTCTCAAGAGATGTCGACTTTTTCATTCCGTTTCTAACCAAATCACGATTATATCTATCATTTGGCACAATAAATGGTTTTTCAAATTTCGGAGATATAACTTGTGGAGAAATGATTCTGGGTGGCGATTCTTTCATTGGTGAATCTTTAGGTGTAGAAGAACATAAGGCCGAAAAATCAGCAAACGTTTTTGATCTACTTTGAGGATGATGCCGGTAAGGAGTTGGTGAAGATGAGGGCGTGGTTGAAGGTGTCGTTTCTAAAGGTGGTGGAGTGGTCATTTCCAGGGGAGGAGGTGGTGGTAACGAATCAGAACCTTCCAGAGAATCATCCGAAAAATCACCATCTGAATCAGTCGTAGATGCTCTCGGATTGACTGTAATGAAGTAAAAAGTTTAATACAAACTTCTCTTTTATAACCTTTTTTTATTATTCAATCATAACTTTAACTTCGCTTATTCTTCGTTCTAATTTCATGTTCATTTTGTTATAATTTCAAAAATCTATTGCCATAATATTACATAGTGGCTCATATTTAATTGAGGCCGTGTTTTTAATCTTTTAACACAATCAGATTGTCCCTACTTTAATTTTCGTTTATTAGTTGACATTTTAAAGTGTTATTTATGCAATACCTCTGCTAGAAAAGTTGCGTGTTGTCGGCATCGGTGGTGGTCTGCCATCAGCCCGAGGCGATGAAGGACTGTGCTGATTGACACCACGTCGCACTTCTCTGTGCCTTTCGCAACTGCCAGCCAATGTTTTGGGTAGAACGCGGCCTTCACGAGGCCCTTTAAGAAAATATCACATTTTAAACTATGATGCATGAATATGTTTTAAAATGGTATAATTTCTGTTCGCGGACAAATTAAAAACATGTCATTCAAAAATTCTTCAATGGGTCAGATTAAAACTATTTAGTTTTTAAAGAAAGAAGATAAATGAAAGTTGAAACAAATCTAGCAATTTTGGATCATTCCTCATTTTTATCCAAGAATGTATTATTTTTTATTATTTGCTCACCAGGGTAAATGGTAACGGGATGTTCATTGAAGGCGCCTAGTACAGGTGTCGGAGGTCCCCTTGGTACAGATGGTGGAGCGTCGCTAGGTCTCAGGCGCTCGCTCAGGACTGCAGCGTGCACCGCTGCTATACAAACTCCCAGAGCAGGCGGAGGCGCGCGTGTTGCCGGTAAACTATTGTAGGGATGTACAGCTGGTGCTTCGGAACACCGCACCTTGGGCTTGATAAAAAATACATCATAAATAGTTTTTAATAGTCTCAATAAGGCAAAGAATAAATTAATTTCGCATTGTTTGTGAGATAAATAACCAGCAAATTGTAAAATACTCTTCAATTAGCGGTATTATTTTAGATGGTTTAATAACGTGGTGAATTTACCGGGTTCATACAAGTGTATACATATGAAGATCCTTTCAGTCGGTATATGCCAGAGTTTAGTTTCGCCGAGATGAGTCGGAAACCTCGTTATGCGAACAACACGTTAGGGAAATATTCTGTGGGATACGGTTCTCATGTGGAAATAAGTGGGTATGTGCGGGACGTGTAAATATCATATCAGTTTATGTGGGATGCGTGCACTGGAAATTACGAATACCAGAAAAATAAAATATTATATATACATCTGTATATAACACTTTAATTATTAATAGATCAAATATGCGAATATTGTAAAAATTTAATCTAGAAACTAACATTGATTTTTTTATTTTGAGCTTCTGGCTCAAGATACCAATAAAACACGCATATATACTATATATTAAGCCAATTTTACATCACCGCGAGTTCAAAAGTTACCTAATTATAAGTTGTTCGTGTCATCTATTTTTGTCTACTTTCTCACCGCAGTGGTTAATCTCAGTTGTGATCATGCTCGTTTTTGTATTATATTTAGAATGTACGAGTCTATATGTCAACTCCAGAAATGCCGGAAGAGCGATGATCACAAGGCTAAACGATACTGGCAATTTTGTTCCAAGTCGTTGCTTTGACAAAACTCAATTAGAATGAATAGTACTACTTTATGTACAGAGAGTCGATATAAGTCGTTACGTTGTAATAGTTATAATTGTTCAAGGTCTATATAAATAATTTGAATATATTTTTTATTTAATATAAATAGAATTGCCGAGTATTAAATACCTGTATTAAAACGCCAACTTTTAATGGAACTTGCCAACACAAAGTTGTAGATTTTTTTAAAATAAATAAATAGATTTTTTTAAATGGATATAGATTAACAAAAAGGCTTAGAAACCTGGAGCAAATTTATCATTATTTTTTACTGTGGTTTTACGAATGTTATTTACGAATACGAACCAAAGTTTAAATGAACAATTTTAATAAAAATTAACCATAATCGAAAAATGGTCAAAGTTTTATCAATGTTTTGAGTTGCACATAGCACATAGTTTTCTAACTACATTGAATATTTTTTGTTTTTTTTTTATTTCAAGTTACGATAAATACTATCACCTCTTTTCGGCTTGGTGTCAACACTCTATATATTATCATCAAAATTAATAGAATTATTTATTACAATGAGTGGTTCTTGAATCACGAGCATAGAATTAGTTTTCAAACCTATGCCGTTTAGTATTGATTGAATATGACTGAAATTAGCTCACCAAGCTGGTGTTACAAGCAAACGAATAACTCAACCATACCGTATCATATTTCATTTTATGATTACACAGAAAATTGTAAATACATATGAGAATATAGTGAAAATCTATACGTTGTACAAAAACACTCTATCATAACTTTGCAACGATGAAAATATGATACTGCGTACTTATGTAATATACAGTGTGAAGAAGAATCCTTTGCGGAAACACTTTTGCCGCAGTGTAAATTAAATTACATTTACTCTAGTAGACCTTCTGATAGTATCCGAAAGGGTATAGTAGCACTAATGTTTGCTTTTGTCCTCCCGTCCTGAATAGACCTATATAGTCATGTTATAATAGTTTTCATCCACTTCAATTAACAATTAACTGTTAACAAACGCTACGTCACTCGCTTGCTCGTGTGCGAATTCACACATTTTGTTTGATCAATCTGATTGTTGATTGAAAAGTATCTGATTCCATTTAAAAAATCACAAAAAAACGCTATGTATACGCAACAGTACAATGATATAGTTAACATTGCAATTATCTTCAATTCAAATATTTATTTGGTACTTTGAATTCGACACCCCGCTCAAGTTTAGTAATGATGCAATAATCATTTAAATGGTAGTATTGTGCAAAAAAATCAAAATGATTCGTATTAATAACTTAATATATTGTGTAACAGACTAAATTATATTATTTTGTTCAGAAGTGTTTTTCAGGTTTCAGTTACGACATTAATCTGATTGAAAACGCGGTAGAAACTTTTACCAATTTCCGGAATGTATTATATACCAGAAAAACCTTCGTGTTTCATGCTTTTCGCTTTAAAATCTATTCAGTCTGAATAAAAATAATGTTTTCACTTTGATTAAAAATTATACACAATAATATTTTTCATAAATATGCATTGCTAAGTCTTAAGTTATTAATTAGAAATGTAATTGCTGGATTCTAGCTATTACATTTCTAGCATTATATTTAACAATTATTTAATTCTAAGGTTCTTTGGAATAGCCATCTCCTGGAAACTGTAATTGCATTGTAGTTTTACATTTTCTTTTGGTATTGTTAGACGTCTATGTTGAACAAAATATCGCATCTATATAGCAAAAAAAAATATTTTGTCAGAGTTACAAATAATATTAAATTACTGGGTTCATGAAAAGTATAATCATGGTTTTGAGATTTAATTATACTTAACTTTCAAGTTATTGCACTCTGGTTATTTTTAGATAATCTGATACTTATTAAGAAACAGAAAATTAGTATTGAGAAAATAAAAAAATACGAGTAAAATTACAGGCCTGCATTTAAAAACTGTTCTATAGTTTATTTACTTCGAAAGTAAAAAGTAAATTTTGAAAATAAAGGTTTTGTTAACCAGTTAACTATGATTGATGAAGATATAATACTTTAATGGATATTTGTCAAGCGTATAAAACATTGACCATTTGGCTTTCCATTTGAAATTAAAAAAAAAAACAAATTATCTTAAATGTTAGATTGTTTACAAAATTTTGAGGCTATGCTTTTATAAAATAAGTAGTTTTAAGTAAAATTTTACTTAAGACATTTTCTCTTTTTGCTTTTCCTCAATAATTATCCTTACTTTTTGTTCCATGGGCGCGACTCAGTTAACTGCTTACATTGATGTTACTAATTTCAATTGTAACTCTTTTTTCATTGTGTGTGATAAATTTGCAATATTATCCTACGCAATTTTCCAAAAAGCAATCGAAACTACTGAAACTTGCTTGTCAAAGCATCGAATTACTTTGTTTTTACTGTTGTCGCATGTAATCGAGTTCGTCTTTCATCAAACAGGTTCTGGTACAAAAGAAAAACATCAATTTCATTGGTTCGCATGGTACGATAATCTCTATTTGCGAATTGAGAGACGTCGAATAAACCTTTCCTGTCGTTTCGTACAATTTCCTGTGTCGCCCATGTGCGCCACAGTTGCAATGAAATCAGGCGTGATGAGCGCTCAGACCGAAAGCTGGTGAAGATACAAAAACTGAAATCGGATCTGAGTTTGATACAAAATTATACCAGCTATTATAATTAATATCTTTTATGCACCAATAACATCTGAAATTTGATTGATTTCTAATTATTTGTTAAATTATGTTTAATTTTTTATCTTTCATCTTAAATATGTAAAAGACCAGGGAGTCAACGAAAGGAATATCATGTTAACCAGTTAACTGTGATCGACCATTTCTTATTTAATTTGAAATTTTTGAAAAAAGCTAAATATATTCTTAAATGTCTTCTGAAGTTATGAAGAATATTTTGAGGTTTTGACTGTATAAAATAAGTAGTTTTAAGTGGCTTTTTACCTTATGGCAAGTTGCATGAACTTATCAAAATGTGAAAATGATATACCTAATCAATAGGAATTAAGATTTAGCTATTGAAATAATATTTGCCACTGTTCATTTTTAAATAGTTTCTGCTTTTCATCAAAAGCTGTTCCCAGCTTCTTACATTCATATGTATGTTCACATTTATTCCAAATCGGTGTTTTTTAAAAATGTTTAGATGACTGATGGTATGATTCACGTATCACATTAAATATTAATTAAAATATTTAATGTGATACGTGAATCATACCAAGCAAACAGTTAAAGTCTGTAAAGCAAAATGCTATTTGTATCTTTCCAAAAACTTTTAGTTGGTATGAATCAATTCGGGTAAAATTTTCACCAGCCATTTGTCTAATGTTGAAGTAATGTAGCGGACGGAGACACATGAAAGGCAACAAAACAGACTAGTTCCGAGACCCATTCGATTAGGTGAACACGACAAACTCATTTTTAATACTTCTACGAGCACGATAACAATTTCCTTAATTTGATTAAAGACTATAAATATATATGTATTATGTATATATATATATATATATATATATATATAATAATAATAAAAATAATAATAATAACAAATGAGCAAGTGAAAGAACACTACTGACCACGACCATGAAAAAGAAAGGAAACCGAATTGGGCCCATTCTGCATAAAAGGTGCCTCGTACAAAGCCTAACAACAAGGACTAAAAGGATTGCTAAGAAGAAGAATGCACATGGTTGATGGCTCACACAAGAAGAAAAAACACAGGAAACTGAAGTACAGGACCAGGAAGCATTGAAACAGAAGTTAGGATAAAAAATGCTTAAATGTATATAAAAAAGTAAGTAATGATAATAAAATGGGAATAATTAACAAGGAGGGGAAAGAGAATAATTGATTTATGGTGCTCTCACACCATGAACCTGCTTTCGGACAGACAACTATTTATTATAATAATAATTACTATAAATGACAAAATAAAATAGATATAAATCGTATTCATGATTTGAGAGTTTGTATAAGCCAAGATATCAACCTAATTTTAGGATACTATATAATTTTTATTTTAAATATTACCTTTCTAGCTCTAATATTTGAGCTAGATTGTTGGAACCTTGGAACTATGCAATTTGGGCGAGGTCATTTTGAATTCAGTATGTGTGATTATGTTGAATATTCACAACTTTTGCATGGATAAATAGACAACGGAGAAATTACTTTGAAATTGTTTGAAGCAACTCAAGTGTTAGCTTTGGAACTATCGTCTATGAATTTGTTTGGTGTTCGACCAAATTAACTATAAAGTTTAAACTTGATTTAAATTTATGTATTGAATTTTCGCTAAATATTCAGTGAATATATAGAACTACTTGCGATTAAAAGTTGCATATTTCTAATTTTTAAGTCGATATCCCAGGTGAAATCTAGAATATACTTAAGACTATCGAATAAAATCTCATTTTCCCCTTGTTTTACGTTTCATTTCTCGGTTAGCTTAAAATAAAGTTATTTCTCTAATTTTAATACTCTGGTTATTATTTTAAATAGTACAAAATAAAGTCATTGACCAAAGCACCTCTTGAAATCAACAAACCGCAATAAAAGATTTACAAAACCCGGATCCGAACGATTTTCATGCATTTCCATTGGCTAGCTTGCAAAGGCATATAACGAATGCGCACGTAATGCAATTTATGATTGCGTTATATCGGTTTGTTAGTGAAACATCTCCCCAACGAGGGTTTGTAAACCTTTTCCAGTAAAATATTCGACTTGAACGTGACATGGCACTAAAATACTAACATTTAGCCAAGATTTTAAGGCAACTACCTCTATTCTCATGAAAACATCTTTCACTTGTTAATTTTCCGAAAAAACCTAAGTATGTGCAAATAGTTGCAGGTAAACTTTGATGTTTTAAAACCCAAATATGATTTTCTTTGTTATTGATGACAAATTTTATAAAAAATATAAAAACTCAAAGGTTCACAGCGTCCCCAAATATGTAATTTGTTTCCAGAGATTTTTTTTTCTAAAATAATCACTTGAAAGTTGTATACTAAGAGCAAATGCCCTAGGTGCCCTAGGGCACCACTACCCATTATTATTATTATATATACAAAAAATGTATATATATACATATACATACATATATACGATATATGTATACGATATATATATGCATTATATCTATTCAATTCATGCAATCATGCAAGTAATTCAAATCGAATCAGGATTATAAATTATATTCAAACTTTTATTATTTTAAACATAAATTCTTTATTACCGCGTGTTTTATTTAAATGAGTGCAAAAATCCAGATGTCTAGGCACTAAAATATAAATAAAAAACAGAACACACGACAAGAAAGAAGGTAATGCAGAAACAATACGATTTCAAGGCTATAAAATGCAAATAATATTTGAATTGGCTATAAACAGCAAAATCCGCTAAGGATTTTAGAACCGAGGCTCAACACTCGAAGAGGGTTAAAATCTGATTATGAATCTGGGTCGAACGATACGATAGCTAAGATTATCTTATTTATTGTTAAAAGGACACGGGTTGTTTATGGAAAGGACTAGAATAATATATAATCGTGTATAGATTTCGAACACGACAATTGTACCCACAATTTGGATACTGATCCGGAAATTTGCATAGGTTTATAATATTTTATATATTCGATAACCTGAAGATTTGAAGACAAGCAGAAAATACTCGGATGATCATTAGATTATAAATATATTCAACTCAAAATCAAAATCTGATTTTTAACTTCTTTGTAATCACGAGTTCCGAGTTTATTACTGCGCTCCAGACATTTTTACTTGAAAATATAAATTAATAATATATTTCGAAGTAAAAATAGTCATTACATCAAATTAAAAATATAACATAAATATTACATAAATTGTGATAATAGACAGGCCAATCATTGGGCAGCCTTTTAAAAAGAGACGATTGTTAAAGAGAAGTATTATCATAATAACATCTCATAGAATTGTTGACTTATGATAGCTGTTTAAAAATAAGGAAGAATATATTATTAAATTCAAGGGATGTAAAAGCAAGTTTCTGAAAATTTGTTTTTGTTTTGAAGATATTCAATTACTTACCAAAGTTGCTTGTTGTGCAGGAGGTGCATTTTGTGCTGGAGGTATACTGTTCAGACTGTCTGGGTAATTAGGTGACCTGAAATTTGTATTATTTTTTAGTTTTTGAATAAATCAGATGATCATATGCTAAAATCAATAAATAGATATGAATCGAATATATCCTGCATTAATGTAGGATTATTCAAGGAAAATCTTAGCCTTATAGTATCAGTATTGATATTGTTCTTAGATTTCTCATATTATAGTATTTATGAACATCAAATCAATTATTATAATTAGTAAGCATCGCAATGACTTACAAGTGCTATCACTTATTATTTAAGAAAAAAATTAACCTTAAGTGTTAGTGTTGATATTGTTTTCACTTTCATATATATATATAATATTGATAAGCATAAAAAAATATTACAATTAGTCGTAATCCCTTATGAGTACATATTTCGCGACCTGCATTGGTAAAACACTGCCTTTATTTAAATGTAAAAGCTGAATAGTTTTAAATAAAATTTTTGTTTATTTGTGGATTATAAGAAATAAGCATGTGATTATATCATTTAGACAAAAACGTTGTATAAAACTTTGCTCGAAACCAAGACCTACACATGGTTTTGATCCACGCTTGAGATACAAAACTCTCTTAAGTCTTAACTATTAATGAGTTACACCGATAGTTTAATTGCTTCCCATTTAAAACTTTGCAAATTGTAATACAAGCAGATCATCACTTTGCACATGTGTAGGATTATTCCATGATAAGGCTAAAGTTTGATACGCAAAACCACCTAAAGAAAATTAAAAAAAATGCATGGAAACACAAGTTTACTTCTAATTGTGATTATATATTTTGTCAAAGGTTTTGGATGTTAGCTGTAGTTTATTTATACTTCGTAGATAATACATTTAATATTTTATATTTTATCTATGATATTTTATAATATATATGCTGTTCCTTACGCAATGCAATCAATAACAGAACACGTACAATGGACAGGTTAGTATAAATGGATTTTACGTGTATGGAGAGCTTGATTCAGAACAACTATACCCAACAATAGACGGTTTAATAAATATTTGATATGGCCTCGTATTCCCAGACCTGTCAGAAAAAAATAAGGAAACTGAATTATAATACTGTACCGATTTTTAAATATATTTATTTCCTGATATTTATGTTCAAAACAGCCGCTCTTTGATAAGATTGTAGATCGTAGATCTATGTTTTGTGATTTTCATATCGATAAATTAAGTAATCATTTTTACACAAATATCGCCAGTACCGAGTATTTAAGGGCGTGGACAGAGATTTTTCAATTTTATTGAGCATTGACCACCGCTATTACTTGTGGTTCAGAGAGTGTAATTCATAGTCAATTTTAATAAGTAATATTATTGTGAAGTAAATATGTGGATTTGAAAAATTTTATATTCAGGAGGAGCATCACATTTCAAATTTATTCGGTGATATAAATTTTAATATTTACTTTGTAAATTAGTTAATATTATATATATATATATATATATATAAATTTTAATAGTTTAAAGTGCCATATATTTTAGTTATCAGTTCACTATATTTTATATGAAAACAGTAAAGAGTGTGATAGTTTTTAGGTGATGTATCGTATTGTGTTTGTGAGTTTACATAATAATCAGTCAGAGAAACTAACATGTTTTTCGGAAGCATAGCTACAAAAATAATAAAAGATCAAAAAATACTAATCAATTATGCGAACTAGAAGTGATAACTACTAGATTGCCTTCTAGCAACCTTCTGTTAAAATAACAAAATAATTCTTGGAAGTTTTCACTGTCGACAAACTATGATTCAAATAAAAAATAAAAACATTATGCATTTATTTAGCTTCATATGCTTCATACTAGTAAAAAGGAATCAATAGGAATTGTCATTAGTAGAATTCAGCTAAATCAGCTGGAGAGTATCTTACACCTGAATGAGGTTGGTGCAATATTTTTCCTAATGAATAATTTGCGCCTTCAAATTTAAATCAAATTTGCTATTAGAAATGTAGTGTGATGTTCTAATGATTAGTATTGTCTTTAAAAACACACTAATTGCCAAGGCAAACATTTGCACCTGCTACTTTGTTGGTTTTTGAACGCGTTTCACGTCTTGCTCGTTGTTTACATTTGGAAAGTAAACATGGAGTATATTGATCCTGTAAATGTATAGGGAATTACATGAGATTTACAATTAAATTTAGTCTAATGAGTAACTACAAATGCTATGAAATTTATGTTGCATCTAGACAAGGACTATAATGTTCATTTTATAACTACAAAGATTTGGTAAATCAAGAAGAATATATATCATCTATTAACTATAAGTCTCAAAGACAGGGTTAATAAAATCGGAGTATTGTTATTGGAGTAAACTGGTTTTATATACTATGTAGTTTGAATCGAAATCGGGTATTGATTTCTTAAAATTTAATTAATTGACGAATAAAACCTTTAAACACACATTTTTTACATTTAAACTATGTGAAGAAGTATATTTGATCTTGCCTTATAATCAATGATTGTGTCAGTTAGTAGCTGTCTAACAATTTTCAAAATTTATCTAAATGTTCGAAACTGCATATAACCAAATTAATAAGTAATAATCATATAGCTTATCATCATTATAAATTATAGTTGAAAAATAGATTTCTGTATACGAAACTCAATATAACAATGTATTCTCATATAAATGTTTACACTATGGAAATACATTATTATTTTAACAGCATATTCCAACCGCGTTGTTTACTTTAAAATTTAAAGAATCATTCTGAAAATTGCTACAGCAGCATTTAACATAAAATCTGAGTTCAACATAAATACTATAAAATAAAAATCGAGCGCGATATAAAATAAATCGTTTTCCATTATGGTATTTTTACTTCTTAAAGGATGATAGATGCATTTGTTTTGAAACGCAGATATATTTTAAATCAGATAAATATATCATAAAATGATGATTTCAAGATCTAATTCATTCTCGTATATTTATCATTATATATATTCCGATTGTACTACATATCTGGTATATGTTCAATCTTTTCTGAGACAAGTTTATTATGACTTATTTTTAATAAAACCCGAAAATGTAGGTCGGCATTATTTTGGAGGCATTTCATTTTTGATAAGCTTTAGAGCTTATCTCGCGTAAGTGCCTTTCTGAGTCGCAAACGTGAGTGAGGTGTGATATAGGACATTGTTAACGAGAGTTATGTGTAACTTTGAGTCATATATTCAAGGTAATTTCCGCCATGGACTGTTGAAACTCATAAACCTAAGGCAAATGAACAATTTATTCAAATGCAGGTTGACTTCTTTTTATTCAAATACATACTTGATTGGTTTTTGAACATACGCCGAATTCTAAGTAGATTTTGGAAAATTATCTGGCAATCTACTTAACCAGATTGAAGTTGCAAATTGCTTGTTTATTTGGAATACATAGTAATATTGTGCAATAAAATCATTTAACAGTAACGTGTGATTGAAAACAAAATAAATTTCTTCATGAATAATTATATGGCACGTTTTTTGAGTAAATATTGTGTAATTGTTATGTTTTTTTCTTTGTTGAATTGAATGTTCTGAAAAGTAAAAGCAAATAGTGTGCACGTGCATGAAGGGTTATTAATTTTAGTCAAGTTAAGTTTTAGGAAATAGTTTTTTTCATATTTTTAAAGTTTAACTATTCAAGAATATGTGTGTAAATGCATTTTCAAAAATTCAAATTATTAATGTTTCTTTTGACCACGATAATCCTTTTATGTTTCCTTGCTCCGCGAAACCTTAAGGGGTACAACTAGTGTGAAATTTTAAAAAAATCGAATTTTCAATTTTATCATATTTCGTTATACATTTAAAAATAACATACCAAAATTTTAAATCGATATCTTAAATAGTTTTTCAGTAACAGCCATTTAAAAAGTATGTATATATATATAGTATATAGTATAACGATCATTTTATCTTTAAAAGCGTTTTTCTCGAAACAGCATTTTCCGAATTTACTGCAGCGATTACTCAAAAACAAATGATCCGATCACTATCAATTTTTTTTACATTTTCTATATATAGTTCCCCGTAAAATGAACAATCGATTTTTTGATCGGATCAAAAATCGAATTTTGGCAATCCAAAAACGACCAAAATTTTGAGTAAAATTCGACTTTTTTTTAAACGCTGCCATTTTGTCAATTTTTGATTTTTTTCTCGTAGTTCATTTTACAGACAATATTATCTAGTTTAATGAGATTTTTCTTTTTAAATTTCATCCACGTAGAAGGCCGGAATCACTGAAGCAGTGAAGAGCCTTTTTTTCGCGCCGTTGGAGATCGACGAAAACTTAAAAAATATTAATTTTTTTTCTTCAAAAATTTTACTATGTATTCTTAAAACATGTGTAAATATATTCTTAAAATTTTGAAATGATTCATAAAGTATTTTTTTTAATATAAATTTCCAAAAATCACCTTTATTTATGCGGTTACACTAGTTGTGCCCCTAAAACCCGTTTTTCTCGAAACCATGCATCTTTTTCCATACGATACCCACGATTTCTGAACTTCTACTAGACCGATTTACTTGAAATTTTCTTCTTTATAAACTTCTCATCAGTATGAACCACGCTCACCCTTTTTTACGGCTTTTAAAAATTTTAAGAATATCAAAAAAGTAGTAAACAAATATTTGATATTCAGACTCGCCAAAATATTTGATTTTTGAGATTTTTTTTTAAATTGTCTATATTAATAATAAATTTTTTGACCGGAATATTAATAATATATTTTTTGACTGGATTGTTTTTCTGTATTGTTAAAACAATAATGAAAAACTTATAGAAAGTAAAAATTGGCTTGCGCTTCTTTTACTGCGTTTCAAAAATTACATAAAATTCATTTCTCTGGACTAAAATACCCCGTTAAGTCTGCCATATGCGTTATTTGTATAACAAGCATGATAATTTAGGCTAATATAGATCTGAATAGTTTTTTCACCGCATTTTCCTCATTATCTTTCGATATTTTTGTTTTCAACTTTTTGTATTCTTGATCATTT